GAGATTAAAATGATTGTTGGCTTGTGAATGATGGCATGCAGAAATTGCAACATTATGTTTTTATAAGGTGGAAATCCTAAAACTGAAGAGATGATTAACTGTGGCATTACCTTAAACTGCTCTAGCAGGAAGGGGCTCCCAAGAGGTTTACTATGTAGTGGGTATATAGTTGAATGGCATCGATATATTTTCTGGGAGAAATGGCAGTTTCCAGATTCTTATGCATGTAGCATTAACTTGAAGGAGTTTATGCATTTATTCAAAGGCTTGCCACTCACAAAGGTGAACCCCTAGAGCTGACTACAAGTTACTTGTGATTCTGGTTAATGATGGTATTCAAGACCAAATATGAGCAGCAGTAGCAAATTCTGAACAGCAAATAAAAAGATAAATCTCCAACAACAACAAAACTACCTATTATAGGCAGTGATGTGGTAGCTGATCTTCCCAGGCTGATCTACTGGACTCTTTGTCCAATAGTTGTTTCAAGCTTGCTGTAAGTTTCTGGATAAGAGTGGCATGTGAAAGTCTGCTGGAGTGGAAAAAGAATGTTGCATTTACAGGAATTTCATTTATTGTCAACTGTCTTTTCCTCAGAAAGATCCTTAATCCTCCTTCTGAATCTTGTTTTTCCTTTGAATCTGTAAACTTGCTTTAAAGCTTTCCTCACAAGTAGAGAAACTATTTTGTTCTTTTGCTTAGGTTACACTGAGGTATTCTGTTTCCTATAGCTTTTTATTCATAGCTTCAGAAATACTCTAAATTATTTCAAAGTAGTACAAATAACATATTTTCCTATTGATTTGAAATGACAGTGGAGTAATTTATTAATAAAATGCATTTGTTCATATGCCTGCCTGACTAAAACTTTGAACAATTTTCCAAATCACTAACACGTTTGTAAATACATTATTGTTTTTCAGTGTTTGTACCTTGTTTTCAAATGAATAGTCATTTTTTATAAACCTTATCTCTTCATGTAGATAAGTACAGTAGGAGCTTTACATAATTCAAAACTCAGAAATTACATTCAGCATTAGAGTAGCTGGTTCAGCTACTATTCAGGCTGTGCTACAGAAGTTGAATAGTGGCATGGCACTGTGTTTCCTTCCAAAGAACTGAGTCAATTGCTCTTCTCACTTTCACATGACTATCAGTCCACTGAAATTGGCATTTTCACATTCCAAATGAAGTAATTCTTTGTAATTTACAAAGCTTGAAGCAAGAATGGAGAGCAGAATAGAGAGAGCAGTCCTCAGTATACGGTGGGAAAGTTTTACTTAAATTTTGGAACACTGATATACTAATTAAAACAAATAACATCTTAACACAGTCCTTAGTCTTAAAGAAATGTAAAAGAAAGGAAACGTCCAATGATCAAATACCTTTGTCTGCTACAATGGTCGTCACCTACATAGTGATGTGCATTGCTAGAATGGCTATAGTAGGAGGAACTTGATCTGAAATTCTAGTTGCTAAATAGCTTCAGAAATTATGCAGCTCCTTCAGTTAGACTGATTTTGATATTCAGAAATGTTGACTTTCTAAATATATTCTGTTTAAATCAGAAAAAATGTAAATGGTACCATCCACAGAGATCAATGCAGCTGTTAATTTTTTAGAACATGGCTTTCAAGTGAGCTTTTCCAATCAAAACTCTTTCCATTTTTATTGATAATTTCCTGCTCTGGGAATACCAATGTGTTGTTGCTTGAACAAAGCTATGGTTTTCCTGATGTTTTGACTTATCTATCCTAGAGTTTCATATCCTGTATAAACTCTTTACATCCAAAAATGCTATTAAAATTTGTATTGCTCTCTGCAACCAGCAATAGAACTTCAGCCAGCTGAAGCCCCATTCCTCTAATTCAAGAGCACATGACATATGACATACTTCCCATCATATTTTATGGGTAAAGCAATACAGTTTTACCATCATCTCTTACACAGACATCATTTATCTGTTCACCACACTCATTAGAGTGTGTTGCTCATGCAGTTGCATGTCTAGCACTTTGAGTACAATTCATCTTGCTGTCCTTGATGTCTAATATGAAGGCATTTAGTTTTGAGTTTTAGTTGCCTGTCTTTTGTTTTTAGTCAACAGGTATAAAAGGTCTTTTTGCAGTTCACCTCTTCCAAAGGCAGATAAAATAGGTTAACTGCCATTGCCTGGGAATGCTTATACATCAACTGTAACTTAATGCTAAAGTCTCTGAAATATACAGAAGCAGTAAGAGTGGATGAGTTAGACTTAAAAAGAAATTAAATTTTTATAAGAAAATGGTAAAGATTGGTAGTATTTTCCTTCATGGTAGTATTTGCTTCCAAAATTCATATTGCAAATAAAAGGTGTCTGTTCATAGAGATCCACAAGGCATTATTTTCATTTTTCTGTACTAGTTATCATTTAGAAATACTAAAAAGTGAATGTATTGCTTAAGTTAACAGTAGTAACCTCATTAAAATGCACTTAAATGTGTCTTGTCTCCTGGCAGCACAAACTTTGCTGTTTATTTATAGTTTTCATTCTAGAAGGTGTCAGTGTTCAAGATCAAAATAGAAATGGAAGTTTTGCTTCATTTCTGTGAGTGCATTGTGATTGCCATTCTCTGACAATAATGTTATTTGAATTACCACTATTAGTCCACCTGTATGAAAAATGTTGTTGCAGTAAAATAAATTGTCATTTTTAGCATTCAGTAATTAACCCTAGTGTCGCCAATCTTCTTTGGTTTAAAAATCCATTTGAAGGAAATGGAGGTTTTACCGCTGAGTTTTAGATGAGAATTTCTATACATTTTATTGGGGTGTATTTTTTCTAAAATGGGAAACATTCGAGTGTCAGAATTTTATTTTTTTTTCCAGGGAAAGTCAAGCTACTCAACTTTGTTACAAAAAATAAGTAGAAATGTCATCATAATGTCTTACATATTTTATATTACTTTTTTAATTTTAGGTTAATTGTCTGTGATAGCAAGACATTTTTCATTACTTCTCATTTTTTCCCAAATTAATTAGGGAATCTAAATGGCCATTATTGAATGATTGCCGATGTCTCTGATCATTTAATGTGATATGCTGAGTGAAATTCTCATTTTATTTTAATTTTGTTTGATATGGATGAATTTGAAATTTGAGTTTCATCAAGGAAAATGGCATATGTTAAAAAATGCTGTTGTGTGCATCATTGTACATATATTTCTTTGCACAATAGCATTTATTATTATTGTCCTACTAACATAAACTCATAGATTGATATAGGTTGGAAGGGAACTCTGGAGGTCATGTGGCTGAATACCTACACATAATGTCCTAATTTATCTTTATACTCTGCTTTTTTATCATCATTGCCACCTTTCCAAGGGATATTGTAATTATTTAGCAAGTCCATTCTCCAAAGAATCTCAGAAGCCCATGGGAAATTGCCTCTGTTTTCTGGCACTAAGTCCACCTTATGCAGCAAGATGGATCTACGTGATTTTTCCTCAACCCACCAACTTTAAAATGTCAGCCTTTGTAACAGATTTTCCTCATTTCTGTTGGGAAATTTCAACTCCCACGAGGCTTCAAAATTTACATAAACAAATTCTCCTACTCTTTCATTTCTTCTTTGCTCCTAGCTTACATACAGGATGAATAGGTATCACTTATTTAACTGCTGATGTTCCTTTATTCACGACCCAGTCGTCTGAGCTGATGAGAAATGAAGACAGTCAACCTTTTTAACAAGGCAGTTTTAGAATGCTATATCATTAAAAGTCAACTAGAAATAGTAGCAATAAGATAAACTAACTACTCCTTATCCAGATAAAGAACATAGCAACTGAAATGATGGTCTGAAAATCATTTAAAAGTCCTTATCTCATCTTCTTTGACACAATAATTTGGCATCAGATGATGAATTAATTCTTAGTGGACAGGTGAACAAATCAAAATTAACATTCAAATTGGATCATTCTTGGATGTTTAAGTAAAAATGGTGAAGATAAAGTGGTTGTGAAGACAGAATTATCTTTGTATGTTCTGAGATCCCTAAAGGACAAGGTTAGAGCTCATTTGCAGGCTGATGTGAAGAATTATATTCTTAAGCTTTGGTCATTTTCCAGGGCCAATAATTTTAGATTCCTAATCAGTATAAAATTCACTGGAGCAAGTTACAAGTAGCAGCTTCACTCTCGTTCATAGAGAAACACCCTTTAAAGAACTCAGTCTAAATGGGTTTCAATGTAATTTATGTACACTGCAAGGCTCTCCACATTGCCAAGGTAGTGTGAGGAGCCTTCTGTGAAAATGAAACATGAGCCCATGTTGCCTTAGAGTTACAAAACGTATCCATGTGGATACTTCTTTTAAATACGTGCACCTCTGTATGTTTATTACCTCACATATTTAGAGTTTAGTTGATGTCTTCTTATGAGATATTAAGGACTAACTAATAGGTTTTGTAATGACATCATGTGGTCTCCAAAGGCCACATTCTCTTCCTTTTTTTCTTTTTTTTTTTTTTTTTTTCCAGAATGTCTTAGCACTCATACTGAGATTTCTGCCATGCCACCTCTGTAGTTGCTAAGCAGCAAGGCTTTACCCCCAAACGGTGAGCTCTGTTCTCCATGCTGAGACTGTTTCAGATATCCTCAGCAGCTTGAATCTTCTTGCTGAGGGATTTCCTTGACTGAGACCAACTGCTTCAAAAGGTCACAGGCTCTCTGCGGATCAGCCCTTTTCTCTGATGTGCACAAATCTTCTCATTTTGTACTTCAAGAAACCCTGCAGCAATTGAACCATGGTCCTGATTGCAACAAGCCTTGTGCAATTGTCCCCTACTGTATGCCACATGGTGCCAATTACTATGTGTAATAGAGTTTATGTGGAAAGTGGTCTCAAAAAGGCATAAGGACAAAAATATTTTTGTGTGCCAAGATTAATGAAAAAGCTACTCAAAGACACTAAAGTTGTCTTTTTTCTTTTCTTTTCTTTTTTCTTCCCCCCCCACCCAGGACAAGTTCTGGATGTGCTGGAAAAACACAATCTGAGTGACAAAACTCTTGTATACTTTACATCTGACCAAGGGGCTCATGTTGAAGAAATTTCTAGTGCTGGAGAAGTCCATGGAGGATACAATGGCATATATAAAGGTGAACATTCTCTGATAGTTCTTGAAAAATGCAAGAAAAAAAGCTATCATCTCCTTGGGTTTGCACCAAAACTGTAATGCACTATGTGGCCAAGGTCAAAATTCAATCTTATTGAAATACAGTAAGAATGCTTTTCATTCTTTCACTAGCTAGTGGCTGTGTAATTTGTTTTCTACTCATATTTCAGGAGACAAGATCAAAAAAATCCTGCAATTTTTGGAAAGTCATTTACCAAACTTAAAACTTTCATTTGTAGAGAGAAAGAAATAATTGCCCTTAGGTACGTTGGTGTTTTTTTTAATATATATAGTATCATGGAACTAAAAAATCTCATCGCATTGGAAGGCATCTCCCAGTGTCTGGAGTCCTAGCCCCTGCAGAGCAGGGTCAGCTAGAGCAGTTTGCTCAGGACTATATCCGGTCGAATTATTAAAATCTCCAGTGATGAAGACTTCACAGCCTCTCTGGGCAACTTTCTCTGGTGTTTATTTACCCTCACCATAAGATTTACCCTCACCAAAAGAATTTTTTTGTCATTTTTAAATTAAACTTTCTGTGTTTTAGCTTGTGTCCATCGCCTCTTGTCCTGTCAGGGAGTTCCACTGAAAAGGGTCTGGCTCTGTCCTCTTTACAATATGTAAATCCATGTATCCCTACAGATGGATAAGATCCCACTAAGCATTCTCTTCTCCAGGCTGAACATCTCTCTCAGCCACTCCTGATATGTCAAATGCTCCAGCTGCCTAATCATTGTCATGGCCTGCCTTTGAACTTTCTCCAATATGACCATGTCTCTTGTACTGGGGAGTTCTTTACTTGAACCCAGTGCTCCAGGTATGTCTCACCAGTGATGAGCAGAGAATAAGACTTGCTGGAAACATTCTTCCTAATGCAGCTCAGAGTGATTTTGTGCTTCCTTGCCAGAAGACACAATGCTGGATGTTCAGCTAGTTGCTCACTAGGACCCTCAGGCTGTTCTCTGCAGAGCTACTTTCCACCAAGTCATCCCCCAGACTTTGTTGGTGCTAGAGGTTACTGCTGTGGAGATGCAGGGCTTGATATTTCCTTTGCTGAACTTTATGATGTTCCATTTGGCCCATTTCTCCAAGCCTCTAAGGGTATTTCTGGATGGTAGCTTCCCAGCTTTATATCATCTGCAAAACTTCAGAAAGGAAAAAATATAGGCATACAAAGTAAGCAATAACAATACAATCAGGTTTTCAAGGAAGAAGGCTCCACAGTTTTTAGTCAATAGATATCTGAGAAATGACCCTTATATTTTAAGAGAATTGCCAAGGAAATGCTACAGCAGCAAAACAAGTAATGCCAAAGTCACAAGGTCTGTCTATCAGATGGGTCCCCTTGGGCTAACACCAGAGTGAAATGTATCTTGAACGTTAGCATGCAGGCCTTACATAGTGATTTAAGTAATTAAGGAACCATATGGTTACATATCTGTAGCTGTAGGCACAGCCTGAGGTGTTTTAGAAGCTCTAAAAAATATTTGCCTTCTCGAGTGCCAGACATAAGATACAGGATAAATGGTGAGGAGGAAAAAAAAGACAAATACACTAGGGACTATGCCTTCCTGAGGAACTTTGATTGAATGAAGTCTTTTCTCTCAAGCCTTACAAAATTTTGTATTCATACTTATAGAGCAAAGAAAAACTTGAAATAGATCTTACCTGGATTCATGAAAAAATCTGATTGATGGGTTTACTTGGATAATAATGGGACTTTTTTTTTTTTTTTTTTTTTTAATGAATTGTGTGGAGTGGCTAAGGGAGCTGGGGTTGTTTAGCCTGGAGAGGAGGAGGCTCATGGGAGACCTTATCACTATGTGAAACAAGGTTGTAGCCTTGTCTGCTTCTTCTCCCAGACAATGAGCAACAGGACAAGAGGGCAGAGTCTCAAGCTGTGCCAGTGAAGTTTTAGGTTGGACATTAGGAAGAAGTTCTTCTCAGAAGCAGTGGTTGAGCATTGGAATGGCTGCCCAGGGAGGTGGTAGAGTCATCATCCACGGAGCTGTTTAAGAAAAGACAGGAGGTGGCACTTAGTGCCATGGTTTAGTTGACAAGATGGTGTTAAGTCATAGGTTGGACTTGATGACCTCAGAGGTCTTTTCCAACCTAGTTGATTCTATGATTCTGTTTACTATGCTGTGCTGGCAAATGTAATATACAAAGGGCTAGAAAATGATCACAGTGTAAGAAACAAAATCATTATTTGATGAGAGACATTAGTATAAAATAAAAAGAAATTGAAAGACCCATACAATCAGTTAAATATACTTTTACCATTTTAAAATACAATGAATTCTACTTTATCTTCCACTCCCTCCATCTCCATATCTTAATTTAACAGGTATATTATGCATCATTTTCCAAAGGGCTGAAGTGGAAATGATCAATTAATCGCATAATTAGCAATTTTCATACATAGGAATTTATTAGTACTAAAAGTCATGCGTGATGAAAAGTGTTAGAGGTCTGTAAATCTCTAGCAGAGCTAACAAGACCAGACTTGTGAAGCCCCAAGTCCCAGGCACTGATATAGCAGTGTACCTAAAAAAGCAAAAAGACCATCTTTATGCTACTTGTGCTCATGTGTGCACACACTAGGAATTTGCTTCATCTGATGAGTAGTTTAAAAAACTGGGAGACATACATGACCTTTCTCCCTGTCTCTGCCAGTTATTTTCCACTACTTATGTTTTTGTATATGAGTGCTGTATAAATGCGAATATGAATCAAGCCACTTAACCCTCTTGTCAGAGCTGGAGCGGTACGCTCAGCAATAATTGGTTCTGCCCTAAAATCAAAAGCTCTCAACAGATCTCCACAATTCTAAGTCACTAATTTGTCTTGATATCCAGCCAAATAAGCACCAGTGATGAAATTTAAGAGGTGTTTGGAGAGTTAGGCCAGTGCTGCAAGACTGAATTCAAAAAGGGGGAATTACTATTTGAAGGTTTTATTGCCCTGGATTCTGACTATGAAACAATCTCCATAAATTTGGATAACCCTTGAAATTAGAAAGCAGAGCTAACACAGTGTATAACCAGTTGCTACCATACACAGTCTGGTTTATCTCTGCAGTATCCTTTTTCAGAAGACATTATGTAGTAATATTGAAGTGATGGATCAAAATCTCTTTCCAGTGGTCTTTTTCTGACAGTTAGTTATCAAGATCAGAATCTATGTAGTAAATAAGAAAATTCCTAAGAAGATCTCCTAATCCTAGATAGTATGACCTTGGTTAAATATGTGGATCCTGAAAATTGAGATTCCACAAAAATTTTTAGCATTAGTTATATAATTTTTCATCATATGAAGATGAAATTCCACTCTGAGTCTTTTTAAATACTGAGCATAGCCTCTATCACTTGTCAATGAGAATACAGTGCTTTCATTTACTCTTTTGAAATGGGACAGTTGCAAATTTCATGGAATATCTTGAAGTTTAATGCGTTTCCTCTCTGATATAGGATAAAGAAGGGAAAAGTTTTTCTATCTTCCCTGGCTTACCTTTGTTTTGAATACCTCTCTGGTGCCTCCTTGCCTTTAAAACTCATTCAGAATATAATTGTCTCTTCTGTCTCTCTTATCAGTCTTAATTGATGAGTTTTTCCTAGTCCCTAATTTCATGTTATTGTCCTCTGTGAATTATTGATAGTTGTGCAGTGTATTTTTTAAAATGACTTTACAGGTATTACCTTTTGCGTTTTGCCATTAAGTTTCAACTTGTCCATATACTTAGCTTCTTAATATTATCCATTTCATCCTATTGACTTTGTATCTTACTGATTACAGATGTGCATAAAGCCTTAGTCTTTGTTTGGGTTCTTTTTCTAAAGTATGCAATGAAAGTTATAGTCTGAATAGCTAAGACCATAGACCTTAGTTCAGTTATTTTTTTTCTCCAATGTTCATTGTGGTGCAAATATTTTTACAGAATTTGAAGTTGCATCATTTCCTGTTCATCCAGCTTGGTGTTAAGGGCATTATCTTTTCTTCTGAATTTGATCAACCTCTGATACTTTGTGTCATGTGGATTTTTTAATTCCATGGTTCACTTCTCTTTCAAAACTGAAGGAAATATATTAAAATAGTAAGGGGCTTAACACAGAGTAGCATCAAGGTACCTTACTATTGACTTGCTATTGCAAAGGGTCACAGACTGTTTGTTTAATCTTTTTGTTTCCTGCCTGTTAGTCAGATTTTGATTCATGACAACCTTTCATCTCCTAACCCATGATTAATGTTCCAGTAATTTTTCCTGAAGATCCTTGTCAAAGAAAAGGTTTAAATCTAGATACAGCTTCTAAAGCAAAAAATAGTGGCTGTTTTAGTAAGAATTTCTTCCCAACAACTCATAAAGTACTCCTGGATGCATATAAGATAATACATTAATATAAATATTTTTAGATTGAAATAGGGACACACTATTATGTGTAACCAAAGTCTATTCTTAAAACTTTCTGTGTAATTTTTTTAGCTTTTTTTTTTTTTTTTTTTTTTCCAATTCTGTGACATTTCTCTGTTGAAAGGGATGGAACACTGAGGTATTGGTTTTGTATATGATTTCCAGGATACCTGCTCTGACTTCTCCTAGGCGATTTTCACTAGCTGTCCCATTGAAGCATGTTCATTTGAGCTAGTCACCATAGCTTTCCTTTAGGAATGGAAATAAGGTTAGTTTTTCAAAATACTTCAGATCTTTAGAATAAGGTGAATAGAATAACTAAATCAATAGATTTTTTTCTCCATTGAATAAACAACCAGCGTAAGATGACTGGTTTAAAGGACGGCACTATATTCTTCTTTGGTACCCTGAGATTCTGAATCTAAATATTTTGTGGTAATTTTTATTTAGTTTCTTAGTGAGTAATTTCTTGAATTAGCTTCAGTGTGTTCTTGAAGCTATCAATAAACCTTTCTTACCTGTAAGCAACAGAGAAATCAAGATGACCATTACTTTGGCCTCAGGGACTACGCTATGACATATTTAGTGATATTTATTGGAGTTTCGCTTTTGACTTTAATGAAAGCAGGAGTTTACCTTTTTGTTCTTTCAAATGTACTGTATTTTTATAATCTCTCTGAAGTGATCAAGATTTTTAAGTAATCAATTAATCTTGTAATTTTGACTGAAACAAAAGTATCCTGAGAGATCATTCCTTTGATTGGAAGAAAGGTCAGATGAGAAGGTCTCCAAATGAGTCATGTCTATTCCATTCACTTGTACAAGAACAGCTCAGATTGAAAATTAACAAAACCAGTACATGAAACAAGTTAAAAATCAGTAACATAAAGAGTGAGCTTGCCATTGAAAATAAATTGTAGTTTGATTGTTTTATAATTTGATAATAATTCATAATGTTGATATTTGTAGCATAAAGTACACTACATATGGGTAAAATAATTAATTTCTTTGTATTTCTATATCATTCAAGAGAATGGATTGGGTTCAGAAGCCTTTTTCTAATAAGAATATAAGAAGAAAGGAAAGGGTAATATGGTTATAATCCATATGATCTAAGAAAGGTATTTAAAATAGTTTTCATTATTCATGTTAATAGCAATTTACGACAGAGTTCCCCTTTATATATCATCCTTTGTAAAAGTTCCTTTCCCAGAGTTAGATAATAGCAGTCAATTTAAACCAGAGAGAGAGAAAAAAAGAGATATATTCTTTTAGCTAAGATTTGAAATGAGGATATAATGGAAATTTGACATCATGTTGTGGATGACTGCATAGAGTTATGTATTTTGCCTGCTCCTGCAGATTTTTCAGGAGAGGTAAACATAGGCTATTGTTCAACATAACACTGAAAACTGCAACCACTCAGAAAGCATAGATAGCTAAGCATGGATGCAGCTCGGTGTATTTTATGCTTTAAAAAAAACTTTTATAAGAATTTAGGAGAACAAAAATAATATATAGCTAGGCTGCCTAGAGTTTGCAAGGCATATAGACTACTAGGTTACTGTCTTTTCTTCATTTCAGTGTTGTCAAATCCAAGCAAAATACAAAACTAGTGAGTCAGGTCCTTAGTATTAAGAGATTTTTTAAAAAATAATGATGTTATGTGTTTTTTTTTTTTATTGCCCTTCTCATATTTTAGCTATTTGAATGTTTGCTTCATGTTTCAAGCACCAGAAGTAAAAATTTTTTTTTTTTTTTTTTTTAAAAAGAATGCTTGGACAAAATTTAACATCTAGATTTTTAAAAATTATATATGTCAAGTGATTTGTAATCATATAATGGCATTAAGCAAATCTAGTGAAGTCACTGAACACTATTGTAATAAAAATGAATACCACGTAAGCATAGATAATAGAAGACAGTCTTCCTCAATGACATGTTATTCCTGCCTTGGTTCCCTGCTATTCCCAATCTCCAGAGCTATAAAAAAAATTATGCTTCAATTAGCCTTTTGAAAGGAAAACAGCAGTCACTTCTTCATAGACATAGGTGAAGATATAGCCCTACTGTGGAGTCCATTTTGCTTTTTGTACCTTACAGCGGGGAGTCAGAGTTTTCAGAGTTCCTTTGTGCCTGGGTAATGTGCAACTTTTCTGACCTTTTCGGTAGTGATTGAAGAAAATTGCACTGTGAACCTAAGAGCTGTGAAAGTGACACAATATCAAGGTTTTAAGAATTGCAACGTGTGGGGATCAGGTTCACCACTTATCTTGAAATTTTTCTGTCTTCAGATTACACAGCAGACAACAGTATAACGAGAATTTACTTAAACAATCTAATCTAGCTAGCACTGTTACTAGGTTCTGTATACAGAAAAAAAAGGAACCTTACACTTAAAGCTACCTACTGTATAGGTCAACTGTTGGAGTTTTCTATCTGTTGATACTGCTCAGCCAAAAAGCTGCTGTGATGTGTACACAGAACTAGGATCTGGCTCATGAACTAAATTAACTCCCTGGCATAGCTGTTCACAGAAAGCATGTTAATTTGAAGATATCTGTAATTTTATGTCCTTGTGCTTTTCTTGAATTCTTATTTGGATTTAACTACTCCCACTCAACAGGATTTTCTATGCACCATAGCTCAGTCTTGATCTTTTCCTGCTAAGTAACACCTAATACCACCAAACTTTGAAAAACCTAATGATTGTTGTACAGGGATAGAGTAATCTTTTCTACAGAAGATGTACACAGTCTATTGACATCTACACTGACTTTGACCTAACAAAATTAACAGCTAAGCAGCATACTGTTGGGTGAACACTTCCTTTTGCTAGGCAACAGATATTCTACACCTCCCCAAACACCACCTTTATAAACTTAAATTTACATTTTTGTTTTGAATATAATTTTTTTTACAAGAATGTAAACAAAAATAGTAGGTGAATCTCATTCCTGAGTTTCAACATAGGCAGCCACATACTTTGTCATGTGAATGGAATTACATGTGACTCGGTGACAAGAGTAAACTTTTAACAGTTCTCTAGAAGACAGAGAGTCTTGTTGAGATCTGATCTTGGCACTTCAAGTCTGAGTTTTCTGATTTCAGACTAGATGTGTCTCCGACTATTCAATATTATGAACTCTGATAAAACCCATGAAATTGCAAAAATTTGATATAACAAGGAATCATGAGCTAATGCTCTGTCAGCCACAAGAATATATATATATATAGGCAAATATCTCTGCAAAAGAGAATTTTCTGTCCTAAAGTTACTATTTACCTTTACAAACAATGAAAAACCTGTAGAAAACCAGGTGGATTCTGAAATGACCATTGCTGAAATAGAAAATGTCATTGAGGACTCAGTAAAACAGACAACATATACATATAGCAAGGCCTGAGGTTGGCACTAAAGGTATAGACATCTCTGAGGTGTTTTGGAGGTTTAAGAGTCTGAGGAAACAGAACTCTTGAAGTACTTTTTTGTAATTTTTTCTTCTTCTTTTTTTTTTTTTTTACTTTAAAAAGGGAGATATATGAAAAAAAAAGGCTATGGGGCACACTATCTAGACCAAATTCTATATGAAGATTCCTGTAAAGTGCCTTTTAATCCCTTGCAAATATTTAATTTTTTTGTAAACTAAATACATTTTGTCAGCTCTATCTAATACATATTAGTAAATTTACTGTGATAAAGTATTATTGTAGGTGGAAAATTTAGCAAAGTAAAAATAAGATAAATACATTTAATGGAAAGATTCTAGCTAAGCAGAATGTTTAATATTTGGAACTTGAATCTTGTAGAGGGAGCATTATCTAAGAAGAAATTGATTTCTCAGCAAACAAAACTAATTTTTCAGGTGGAAAATCAACAAACTGGGAAGGAGGTATTCGTGTGCCAGGCCTTCTCCGTTGGCCTGGAGTGATACAGGCTGGTACCTATACTGATGAGCCAACAAGTAACATGGATATATTTCCTACCATAGTCAAACTTGCGGAGGCACAGTTACCCTCTGACAGGTATGCTCTGTAGTCATCTCTGTTTTAGAGAAAGTGTCATGACTGTTTTATACATTCTGGTGATGTCTATTAAGATAGAAGTGAGAATGTAAGTAAGAAACTAGGTTTTATCCTTACAATAGTATGTTGTCTCTTTTCATATTGACGTACTGATATATTTCACAGAACCGTTGTATGTAAATACAGCTTAACTTGCAGAACAAGCACCAAGCACCAAAAAGATAAGAGAAACTATCAGAGCAGCATACTGTCAAATCAAACCTGGAATTATTTACTAAAAGCAAAAATGAATGTATCAAAAAGGTTCTATTCTGCATGGGTGAATGGGGTAGAAAAAGTAACTGCAAGTGTAAATTACTTTAAACTTCATGGCCAGCTAGGCTTTTCTCACAGGTGTTTGTTGGGTTGGTTTTGGTTTTCGTGGGGTTTGTTTTTTTGTTGGGGGTTTTTAGTTGTTGCTTTTTGTTTGTTTGTTTTTTCCCCTGTGTCAAGTTAGTGAAAATAATCCCTTACAGAGCTTTGCAGCCTGATAAGAAAACTCACTGGACTTCTGAAATTCATAAGATACCTTACTGACACTGCTACATCCCCAGGCTTTGTCTTGTTTGGGAGAAACTCAGTCTCAGCAGCAAGGTGCCTCCACTTAAGTACTGTTGCCCTCCAAATCCAGAAAGCAGAGAAACCTGCTGATAAACATATCCTTTGACATCTTCAACACACAAACAGCTTTTGAGCACAAAGCACTGAGAATCCACATGGGAAAGCCCAGTGGTGAGCAGAGTCACTCTACTAATGATGATTCATTGAGTGCTTGAAGGAAATGGCAGGGCAGGACAAGTGTAAGACATGAAAAATTAGTCAGATTGATCCTGAGAAATGCCCTACAAGCAGTAACTGTCAAACCTCAGCAGTTCAGATTGTTTTTAATGTGGCAGATATTATGCAGTTTGTTTTCATATTGCTTGAGTGGAGACTAAGTACTGATGTTTTCTCTGATCTCTTTGATAGAAATCCCAATACACTTGTGTAACTTCCACTTGTAGGTTGCTCCACTCTGATTCTTCAGTATAGACTAGATGCTTTAAGTACTGCTTCATGTTAGGTCATGGAGTATCTTGAAGCATTTTCCATCCAGCAGCTAAATTCTTATTACTCCACTGAATTCTTCCTCAGAAGTAAGAAAATATTATACAATTAGGATTCAGTCACTGTGAGGAAGCAGTTAAAAAGAAAAGGAGGAGGTGCTCTTAGAAGAGAAATTAGTCATCAAAAAGAGTCATACTCCTCTGAAACCAACAGCTCTAGGAATGCAAAAGTACTGGCGACATATTAGTGGAGATGCCCTTTTGCCTATCAACAGGCTCTAAAATAGAAAGTGTACAATATACATGCATCTCTCCTTCTCTCAGCTTGTAAATGAGCAAGCCTACAGAGGCAAGACAAGAGCCTGTCACTCAGGCAAGAAAATATCACAAATTGAAGGTGGGAAACACTCTGATTCAACAGACCCCCCCCCAGACAGGGATCCATCCAGAAGGCAGAGTTATCAGATAACATAGCTTTAGGAATTCCAGGCTGTTTTCTTGGCTATCATTTGAGAAAAGTGCTACTCATAATGGCTCTGTTGCATACAATTGCTGCCATGAATTTAATCATCATATGTAGCTTATGACTTAAAAAAGTGAAGTTAATACCTATCTTGTAGTAGTTACATGAACATGAAAAAGGTTTTACATGGTAATGAAAATTACCATAGACATTTTTAAACTTTGTATAAGTTTCAAAAAAGTTTTTATGAGATGTTGCTCAAAATGCTTAAGAAAAAATTACTTGCTGATCTGTATATCAGCAAAAAGTAATTTCCTATTAAACTTATTGTAAAATTTGTAATTCATATCAAGTCAAAAAGGCAGATTGTGATTTTTCCTCTTCCAGCTGATTCCAGCAATTCAAAGGCTTAATTTATGGAAACATTTAAAAGCCTTGCTTATTTTATAACTCAATTTTTATGTAAATTGACTGACTCCTTCAGCGCATAATCAGAATTGTCCAGAAACATTGAAAGACTTTATATACATACATATATGCACACGTGTCTGTCTGCAGTTGATAAATACATATTTAAACATAGTTGATTTTCAAATTTGAAATGACCACTTTTGTCTTAAATTCAGGCATACATAATATGCTGGACAGAGTTCTTACCATTATTTCTGGGAGTGCTAACAGAGCACAGCATATATTTCTCTAATTTAGTTTTAGGATTACTTTGGCCAGACTACTTCCAAATGCTTGAGCAGGTATACGTGAAGTACTGTGTTGTAGCAATTTATTCACATATATCTGGTCACTTTCTCATTTAAAAAAAAAAAAAAAAAGAGTTGAGAAAGCAATCATTCATAATGACAAAATGTAAAATTAATGTTTACTTAAATAATGTAAAAATCAAAGGGAAGAGCACTTGAAGGTGTTTTCTCTGAATTGACCAGCTGGAGGCGGCCATTCAGATTTTGGGGTTTTTAAGTAACAGATGTGCAGAGTTATAATACCTTCTCAGTAAAGTGAGGTTTGAGTTATTCTTCTGATTTTGAAATGCTTTCTTCTTCAGAATTATTGATGGACATGATCTACTGCCCTTACTTCAAGGAAAAGTTACTCGATCTAAGCATGAATTTCTCTTCCATTACTGTAATGCATATTTAAATGCAGTGCGCTGGCATCCAGGAAACAGTAAGTAAACTTGCCTGTTCACATTTTAAATATTTAATATAATTTTTATTGCTGCTTAAGAAGAATCAAGAGGAAGCCTTGGGCTATAGTAACAAAAAGTTGTTTAAAATATCTAGCCTTTTTCCTTCTCTTTCACTTTTCTATTTGCTAGAATGTGCCTATTCACCATTTCACTGTTTGACATTAGCTTGTTGCTATGCATTAATGTTACATATCAATGCAACACTGAGATCTGTGATATCTGAAAACTTCTTTTTTTTAAACGTTCCTGAGGGAGTCTGTGTTACAGAATGAAGTAGTCAAGGTTAACTCTTACATTGTTCTAAAAATGTACAGGTAATGGAATGGTTTGCTGAATAACAGCAAAAGTATTATGTCAGTCTGGCCATTTTTATTATTCTGATTGCAAAGTCTAAAAGAATCACTGAGTCAAAGTCATAATTATCCAATAAATGAGTATAGTATTATAAGGTCCTTTTTCATGTTTTTTTATGAATGACATAATTCTATTTTATAGGCCAAGGAAAAAAACATTTCTCACTGTTTTGCTCCTTTTTCACTAGCAGCTCACTGTTTCTAGTAGCACCTTCCACACTAACCAAAGCATATTTCCTTTTCTATAAAAATCTCTGTACTGAGTGAATTTAAACACACATTTGTCCCATCTCAGTTGACACTCAAAGTGACGACTTGTGTTACAGCTTGAAAATGATGATCCAAGACAAGCTTTGGCATCAGGTTTTTTTATTTAAGTAGTTGGGGAAAGGATTTGTTTAATAGTTAATGTGCAAACTTGAAGTGAGTTGGAAACATTTTCTTCTTGGTCATCTGTAGACTGACTCCCTACCTGTCTTAGACTTAAAACTAGGAAAAGGGAAAATATTACATATAATGTTTATTTACCACTACTTTGCCTATAAGTCTTGCATTTGATAAATAATCATAAGGAAGAACCAAGCAATCAAGATCTAGTACTATTTTGTACCTTATGTTGGATGAAATTATTCTGAGTCATTATGAGAGAAGTAGACAGAGCTTCAGGCAGGCAGAGAGGCATTTTCTCTCAAACATACACCTTTGCAAGATGACCTGTCCCTCGTCTGAGGAAAGGGTCAGCTTTATTATTCACTGAAGGGGAGTGTGATGGGAAATGAATGGCAGTAACAATGGAGGACTAGTCTATTGTATTTATTTGATGAGAAGGCATTCAAAAGACAAAGCCCACTTTGGCGATAACATTTTCATAACAATGGGCTGATGTTTGTAGAAAGTTGTTATGGTTTAATTCCAGATGACAACTAAGCCCCACACAGCTACTCTAACCTGGTGGAATGGGGGAGAGAATTGGAAGAGTAGAAGTGAGAAGACTTGTGGTTTGAGATAAAGGAAGTTTAATAGGTAAAACAAAAGCAACACGTCAGCAAAGCAAAACAAGGAATTCATTCACTATTTCCCATTGGCAGGCAGATGTTGAGTTGTCTCTGGAAAAGCTGGGCTCCATAAGAAATACTGCTGACTTATGGAAAGTGGAAAACAAATGCCATCATTCTGAATGTCTCCCTCTTCCTTCTTCTTCCCCCAGCTTTATATGCTGAACATGATGCCATATGGTGTGGGATATCCCTTGGGTCACCTGTCCTGCCAGTGTCTCCTCCCAGCTCTTTGTGCAACCTCAGCCTCCACACTGGTGGGGTGGGGAGAGAGGCAGAAAGGCCTTGGCTCTCTGCAAGTGATGCTCAGTAATAACTAAAACATAGCCCATACTAGCTACTGTGATGAAAGTAAACTCAATTCTGGCCCAGACAAGCACAAATGGGTTTAGATATGCTACCTTGTTAACCTACATTGAGAGTAGGCAATACTGCGATGAGAGCAGGCAATATCAGGTATTCCTCTCTACTGTCTTTTGTATGAATCCTCTCTGAGGGTTTAACACCTTTTTCTTCCTTGCTTGTCCAATCCCAGATCTTAAGAAATGCATTTTCTATGTAGACAATGCAATCTTATTTGTAGAGATATTTGTTGAAGTCAGCTAAAGTTTCACCCCTGTTTTTCTCTCCTCCACTTGTTATTGTTTTATAGAGATAAATATACTGGCATTGCAGCTGTAGGCACCTGATGCTATCTGCTTTGTTATGGGTACTCCTGTGGAAAAACAAGTATGGTCGGTTTTTCTTCTGGTATGTCAGCAGCTCTATATGGTGCAACTAATAACTTCAAAGTGTGTTATATTATTAATTATTAGTTAGAGTATTATTGTCTTATAGGCTCCCACTGCAGCTCACTCTTTACAGCTTATCTCAGAGTCCATCCACAGTCACTATTTCTGCTACTATGGAGTGATATTTTAGTATGTGAAAATTAATACAAGTAAAGCAAAAATACAGTGCAATGGTTTGGGTTTTTTTTCTTTTTTTTTTTTTTCTCCTGGAGAAGAAATTATTTTGAACATTTAATTCAAAAATATTCAGAGCTTTTGTCTAGTAGCAGAGAACTAAATTAGAAGTATCCTATAACAACAGTTCATACCTTATATTTAGGAATACATCCAAGAAAGTGAATGAGCTCATGTTCATTAAAAACAGACTAGAAAGCTGGAAAATGGTGCAACTTTCACTTAACCTCAGCATGCTGCTATTATCACTTGCAAGACTGTAAATCTTCAGGGTTTGGTTGTAGACTGAGCACTGTTTCCCACTCTACATGTATGCCATGTATAACAAATTTTGTGGCGTAAAGAAAACCACATTCCTCCATGAGCTTATGTATTTTCCAGTATCCAGAAATGACTGTAGAATCTCTCTTCTTTTAGTTGCACCTTGCCAGTGACTATAGTCAGGGGAATAGCACTTAATTCACAGAGGACTAACAGAAGCAGATACTTAATAATCTTAAGGTTAGTCTTGAAGCTATGGAATTTCTGTGAAAAAAAGTTACCAAGGAACAGTTTTCTCTTTCTGTGTACTGTAAATGATCTAGACCAGAAATGACTTGTGTTGTTCTTCACCTGTCTTCCATAGTTAACTAGGTAGACTACAGCTACTTTAGAATTGTGTAAAAATATTTTCCCTGCAGGTTAGTAGGAGGCCAAATGCTGACCAACTCTACCACCCACTAGACTCGAGGTTTAGTGGAAGGTAACATGATAGTGTGGGATGAGTAACCTCAGCCATGTTCAGCATTTTCTGCACTGCTCTGGTATTGGGCCCTTATGAGAAGGACCCAGTTGTCTAGCTAGACTGAGACTACATTATAGACTGCTGATTCCTTCATCAAACATATAATTTCTATAAATTCTAAAGATGCACTTTTTGAAGAAGAAAGCAACACCAGCTTAGAAGAGAAAGCTTAAAACTGTTAAAGCAAATTTATTATTTATTAATCAAAGTACAAGGTAATGGTACATGTATATACACACTTTTTATTGCGTATAATAATCAGATTTTTTACTGTATTTATTTTCTGGAACGTCTCAGTTTGTATATCAGCTACAGTTTGCATATTCCACTTTTTTACCTAGATACTCAAAGTGTAGGATTAGCTGTGATACTGAGGAAAAATGCATATACCAAGAACTGAGAGGGAAACAAAAGTTCTGGTAAGGTATTTGGTCCCTTTTTTACTCCATCACTCCACAGTTCCCTTAGTAATTTTATCTTTGCCATTGTTAGATTTCAACTGTGCTTCAGTCCGAAATCTCTTTTTTTTTTTTTTGGTTTAATTTTTGACTCTTGGGTTAAAATTTTGTGTGTGTTAAATTTATAGTAGTTGTGCACCTTTGCCTTGCTTGCAAGCTTCCAAAGTCTGACTTAAGCAGGTGTGTTTCTCACATTATTCAAGGAAGGTCAGAAACTTCAGAGTGAACAATTACCATTTTGCATTTAGATATTTAGAGGTTAAGCATTCCTCATAACCAAATCAATACACATCTTCATTAAGATATATTAGTTAGGTCAGTTATTACATTCACAATATAATTTCCCCTTCATCAGCCCTTTGAAGAACATTTAGAGGATATGTGTAATGCTTTGCTCAACCAACACTTCAGAATTTAAGCCTTGTGCTTTCTACAGAGACATGAGGAAAATAATCTCTCATTTTTCTATTTTCCTCCTTTCTCAGACACAGAAATAAGTTAACACTATTTTTTTCTTCATCTCTCTTTGACTCAGATTTTGCCTGGTGCTAGAACATAATGGACATTATTCTTCACATTCTGAATTAAAAAAATGAATGAAATACAGGCAATTTTCTTTGCTCATGATTCATGTCTCATTCTCACAGGCTCATGCATGCAGACACTTGCTTTAAATGCCTTGAAAATACAATCCTAGTCCTCAGAGGATGACTTCCTATTATTTTGAAACCTTATAAATATGTGTAATTTAAATTATCTGTTAAAATATATAGAGAAAGACATGCTAAAACAACATCAACAAAGTACAGCGATTTCCCATTAACAATAATTATCCTCCACAGCTGCTTGGTGTACCATATAGGTACCAATATATGAAAGGAGCAGCTTCAGAGAAAAGCACTAAATTTTCTTTCAGCCTAGTAAGATGTAATAATCTAATTTTTTTAAATCATTGAGTAATTTTTTTAATCATTAGTCATTTTCAATATGAAAATTAAACAGATGCAGGATATGCCTTTATTTTCTTGAGCTGAGCCACCCAAAAGTTTTTGTTGCTTTCTGTGGTATATGCCAGATTATGCTTTGATTTAAGTCAGATCACATGTTCTTCTGCTCAAGCAAGTTGACCAGTTCTTGTATATTTGCTAATGTTATAATTTAGCATTTCTGAGTATTAAAAAACTATCAAGAGCTCTGTCTCCAGAACATTACTGGCATATGAATCAGTGCTAATAAAAATGCATTGCTATGACAACTTAATTATAAGGGGGAAATTAATCAGATACAGAGCAAATCTACTGTTGAATGGAACTACTGCATCTTTCAGACTGCTCTGATTGTGTGCAAAATTTTGATATGATAA